CTTACTAAGCTTGCACACTTCCAATGGAACAGAACGACTCCATCTCATGTAACTCTCACAACCACATAACAAGCCATAAAATGACTATGAGTGGGAAACACAGGCAGATGAGACACAGAAATGGAAAGTAACCAGCCAGAGCTAGTTCTTCAGCTAGTAAATGACACTAGAGTAGATCAAGTACCAGAACCTTCTGCTGACAAGATCCATATACCACACCAGGGAACCGGTGTTAGCTCCCTACCTGGGAGCTGAATAGTGACCACCCCTGACTTGATCCCCATATTCGCTTCTTGTTCTGTTTGGCCTGCATCACCATCCTGAATTGGTGGATGGGGCTGCTTCCTGATATGTAAGTGGGGCTTCCACTTCTGTGGCTGCACTGACTAAAAATTCTGTGCTAAAAGGCAACTTTCCTGCCTCAGCCACCCCGCTGCTCTTGCTCCTGCCTGTTCTGGGATGAACCACAGGTCTACAGTGGAGACAGCCTACGGGTGGACATCCTAGTGTTCTGAAGTGGTACCCTATTACTCTAGGAAGAGCGAATTCTGCTAAATGTGCAAGGATTGGGGTGTCATCTCTGGTGCGAGTCAAGAAAGGAAGTCCCCTCCTGCCGCTCCACCTTCCACAAGCTGAGCTAACCTGGAAGTGTCCTCCCCTGTCTACACAGGGCCTTTATACTCCTCCCCACACCCTTGCTTCTGGAAATGCAGTTGGGATTTTATATCTCAGTGGGGGAATGCCTTGGGTTTCTGCCTTGCCTATGTTGCTCAAAGTCTGCTTGTTCACCCTGAGAAATTGGGTAGCCTTATCACCCACAGTAGCCTTATCATTTAAATATGCACATTCCTTGGGAGCCCTCCACATCTTATCTATCACTATTTATGTGCCTACGTAAGGTTCTGACGCTTACAACTGTTTGATTAAGACAAAGAGTGACTGGTAATTTAATTTGGTTAACTGTTTCCTGCCCTCAAGATGTGCCTACACGGCTGAGCTACAACTAAATTTTTAAAAGACTGGGTCCAACCCAGCAGGAGGTGCCATTCGTTGCTCATGTCACTAGTGCTGAACCAAGATCTTGTTAAATGCCTCCTGTTTGGAAAGCAGTGATTGAGGATCAGAAAGCAGGAATCAGGAAAAGGACCATGATTAGAATCTGCGACGTGCTACATTTTCCAGGAAGTTAGCATGGAATGTCAACTTGGTGGGCTTTGGGTCTTCTGGGGGGATTGTGGAAACACAAACTTCTGGATGTGTCTGGGTTGGTCACTGAAAGTGTAGCCTTAGGGTCTACATCTGGACCCTTCCCTCTTCTCTGACACTCTTCCCATGCTGTGCTTCCTGGCTGCCATGAACTAAGGAGTTTTACTCTATGTTGCCCTCCTGCCATGATGCTCCTGCCTGGGCGCCTGCCAACCATGAATCGAATGCCCTGAAACCATGAGCTAAATCAAAGCTCCCTTCCTTTAAGTTGTGGGTGTCGGCTATGGTGTCCAGCAAAGGGAAAGCTAATACACCTTCTTAGTTACAGCTAACCATCTTCAGTAGCTTTCTGTTACTGTATCAAAATACCCAAGATAATCAACTTAAGAAGAGGCAATGTTTATTTTGGCTGATAGTTGTGGCGAGTGCATGGTATAACAAGCTGCTCATCTCCTGACTGCCAGAAAGTGAAAAGAAAGAAGCAAAGAGAACAGGACCCCAATATCTCCTTCAAGATAATGTGCCCAGCGGCCTGAAGACCTCCTGGTAGGCTTCACTTCTTAGTGTTTCTATCACTTCTTGATATTGCCGACCTGGAAACTAAGCCTTTAACACAGGAACCTTTGGAGGACACTTGAGATCCAACCGATAGCACTGTCTGTCTTCACAGAGCTTGTTTCCCAGTGCTGTTGCTTCCTCCTTACGTGGAAGCAATCTCAAGTCTAATACTTGTCAGACTATGTGACTCATTCAATGACAAGCACTTTATGAGCATTGTGCGAGTCAACTTTCCTAGTGGCAGCGAGAAGTTAGTGTAATCATTTCCACTTTAGAGCTGAGACCAAATTTCACTGAGATAATGTGTACAAAATCACAAAACTTTTAAGAGGTGGGGAGGTCACAACCGGAACTCAGGTTTGCAAGGTTCGAATGAATGCAACAGTTTGTAATAGAAAGAGGAAAAGCTTTGGTGCCAGATACCTGAGCTTAGTTGTTGGCTCTGTTGTGCCTGAAAGGCCTCATAAAACTTTCTTTTCAGCTTCACTTCCTTCCCTGTCCAGTGAAGAGAAATGTTCTACAGAAGTGTTCTGAGAATGAAACAGATTAGTGTATACATGACTTCTTTTTAATGTATTTAGTACAGGGTTTACAGGGTCTTACTACAAAGATCGGACTCATAGTGATCCTCCTGTTTTCAGCCTCCCAAACACAGGGATTACAGGTGCATGCACTACTATGCCCAGTCTCAGTCACTGACTCAGCGCACCCAAGGGGTGGGGTTGGCACAGCATGTTGGTGCCTGTGATTGAACTCTGGTCACTGTGCTTGTCTAAGCAGGTACTTTTGTCTGCTCAGGTATATGGCTGGCCTGGATTAGTGCATATAAAATGCCTGTTACAGAGCACCCAGGAGGATCACATGTTTCCACTGCCCCCTCCATCACTGGGCTCAGTCCTCTCCCATTCTATCACTCTGCTCCCTGCTTGAGAGAGGAAATCAGCCTGGAATGCAAAGAACTAAGGTGGATGACACAAGCACCACACTGTACAAACAGATGAGGTATGCTAGAGTAACCTAATAGCAGCTCAGGGTCAACAACATTAAACCTGTCACTGACAAGCATTGTCAGTTTTCAAGTGGAGAAAATCAGAGAGCAGAAGCCCAAGATTCCCCATCTGGGAACTAGATAGGGTACAGAGGGGTGATGGAGACACAGGTGTGAGTATTCTATAGATTAAAGAGCTACTACATGTGAAGTGGGGGTGAGCCACCATTCTTAGCCTCACAGTGCAGCCTCAAAGAGGCTCAGCCCAGCCCCCCTGATCTGGATCCTGTGGACTCTGATGACCACCTAGTCCCCAGGGGAAGGACTAAAATGTTGGCATCCTTCAGTGCTTCTTTACAAGGAATGGTTAGATGTGCTGGGGAGCCATTGGGCAAACCTCTTCCTGTGCCACAGAAAAGTTGGCATGAGAGAAAAAGCCCCAATATTTTCTTTCAGTGTCTCAGGCTAGCTGGGATTCTATTTTTAACCATCCCTATCTTGGGCTGACAGCTTGGAACGCCTTCTTCATCCTTTTCTTCCTTTCTCCTGTTTCTTACACCTCCAAGTCCCATAGAAACAATGGACTAGAGAAACCCCAGAACACCCACTCTCCTTTCTCACTGTCCTTCACTCCATCTAGCCCCCAGGGTCTTGAGTGGGTGGATTTTGGAAGCATGTTGTCTGTGAAACTATTGAGGCTTAAATTGCATGGCTTCCCACTTGCACCAACCCTATTGAGATCCCTGACTGGGATCCTAAGGATTTTATATCTGTTCGTTTTGTTTTCTTTTTCTTCAAGGGGGACACACAAAATTTGGTCCCATCCCCCATGGGGGAGGCTTTCCCCCCATCTCTAGCTCAGTGTCCACGGCAATATGGTTATTCCTATCTGGCTCTAATGTAGTATATGGCTTACCTGTTCTAGGTCTTAGTGTTCCCCATCCATTACAGATGAAGTATCTTTTCCCCATACTATGCCTCTGGTTAGCCAAGTACTTACTTCTGTGAGGTCATCTGTCCCTATTTTTCTCTATCTGCCACTGTGTGTGTGTGTGTGTGTGTGTGTGTGTGTGCACGTGCAGAGGCGATGCTATTGGTCTCTGCCTCTCTCTGAGGCTAAATGAGCCTTATCCTCCAGTGGGAGGCTGGGCTCTCAAACTTCTCTTCAGGCCTAGCCCCATCACTTCTGTTTCACCTTCCCCCCAGTTCGCTTGTTTTTTTAGACAGGAAAGGTGATTTTATTTGGTGGAATTTTGGCCTGGTTATAATCCTGGAGGAGAACAAGTATGTAATAAAAAAGTACTACTTTTTAATTAACTTCTCTGTCCCTGCCAGCATCTGATCACTGGTGTTTCAAACGCACACCAAATAGTTGGAGTCTTATTTTACAGTGCTTTTGTTTTTTTATCAAAGATTTAGTAAGCATGTATTAGTATAGCTCCTTAACAATGGCAGCCTACAGGAGATGTGCGGTGATCGTGCTGCTCAGAGATCCCATCCCCCACCCCAGCCCCTATGCCACTGGGACACAGTGGGCAGGCCAGGGTGACAATCCCAAGAGACCACACCAACCCACCTAGCCTCACACACCGGCTTTTCGGTACAAGTCCTGTGCAGGAGTGGGCAGCTATGGTAGGGGCCTGACAGGAAGGACTTCACACATCCACATCTTTTCACCTGTCCCAAGGAAGTCCTGAAAGGAAGTCAAGGAGGAGGCCAAGCCATTTATTGTTTCATCTCCGCTGAAGATGAGGGAGCTGGGCTGCAGTCCTTCACTGGAAAGTAATGAAGAGACTTTTCAGTCCTAAAGACGCCTTCTGTCCATCAGGGAGGTATTAGGCCTGTGGGTCGTTTCAGTGTTGGTTGGGAAGTGCCTTGTGAGGTCACACTGAGGACACCCTGTGCCAGGGACTGTCACCCGTAGAGAATCAGTGCAATTAATGTATGCGGGCATGAAGGAGAAGTCAGCCGCCAGAGTCCCTAGTGTAGGGTTGGTCTGCTGCTGGGGATGTTGGGTCTACCTGTCCAGATCAGGGCCCTGTCTCTAGGGAGGCGCTCAGGAAGCCCCCTTCCTGTGCAAGGCTCTGTTCTGGTTTCTTCTGCGTGAGCTCGGCCACCATTTCCGTTGAGCTGGTCCATGCTGTTGGGTGTTAGTCTCCCTGGCCGTTGTGGTTTGCGTGTCTTGGGTTTCTGGATGTATCTGTGTTTACAAGGACACCTGTCCTGCCCAGCCCCTCCTCCCCACGCCTCAGCCAGGCCCCAGTGTGCTGATGGTGGTGTAGCTCAGCCTAGACAACGAAGCAATGGAGGGGGTGGGAGGATCCTCCTCCGGGAGAGGCCTGGGCCGAGCTCGAGGGGGCCTGGGGCAGCAGCGTGCGCAAGTGTCCAGGCAGGCCTGGCGAAAGCGGCGGTGCATGAAGCAGTAGACCAGTGGGTTAACACAGGCGGAGGCATAGCTCAGCAAGTGGATGAAAGAGATGGGTGCCCCTGAGAGGGCCCGGTGCGCCCCGGGGCCGTCGAAGGCACGCCACGTGTTGGCGCTGTACACTGGCAACCAACACAGGAAAAAAAGCACAACGATCACCAGCAGCATCCGTACCACACGCTTCTTGGCCAGCAGCTTGGCCTGGGTGGGCCGGGGGCCAGGCCCTGGTGCAGGGGTGGACGCCGTCAGGGCCGACAGTTCCAGGGCTGGCCGGGACCGTGGAAGTTGCACATAGCAACCATCGCTGTCCTCGCCGGACACGCCAGGTTCAGGCCGGCAACGCCCATTCTGGACGGGACCTGGGCAAAGGGTGGGTGGGGGGAGGGCGCATTAGAAAAGAAGGGAGAGTTCGCCTAACACCAGCCCAACCCCCACCGGTACCCCTGGGCCCCACTTTCCAGCCTCCTCCGCTTGCCTCTCAGCCCCTCCTTCTCTAGGCCCCGCCCTCTCAGGTGTGCTCACCAGGTGCAGAGCTGGACAGACTGCCCTGTCCTCGGACCCTGCTCTGGCTCTCACTGTCAGTATCACCATCAAAGCGAAGTCCCAAGTAGAGCTCGCGGGAGATGAGCCCGTAGGCCACTGCCATCACCACACCAGGGACAAAGAACAGCAGCAGCAGCAGCAGGACAGACCTGCGGATGAAGGCAGAGTGGTCAGCCCGGATTTGTCCCAGTGAGAGGGAAGAGTCATAAACATTTGATGGAAATGGAGAAGGGTGTTCCCATTTCTTTATTTTTATTAGTACATATTTGCAGTACATAAGGATTCCATTCATCGTGGGGAGTTGGGTCATGTACACAGCATGTCTTTTATTTTTTATTTATTTACTTATTTATTTATTTTCAGAACCAGGGATTGAACTCAGATCCTTGCATTTGCCAGTCAAATGCTTATCCTACTGAGCCATCTCCCCAGCCCCACAGCATGTCTTAATTCTTTTTTTACACCCCTTTCCTTTCTCTTTCCTTTCCCCTCCCTCCATCAGAGCAGAGGATAGCAGTGCTGGGCATCTTACCAGGTCTGGCGGACGCGTGCGTTGGGCCAGCGATGCACGCACTGCAGCGCACGAGGCCCCACCGGTTGCACAGCGGTGTACACAGGGTAGGGCACCATGAGCAATCCAGACAGCAGCCAAGTGGCTAAGATCACGCGAGCCGCATGGGAGCGGGTCTGCCACACCCGCGCCTGCAGTGGCCGGCAGATGGCGCTGTACCTTTCCAGGGCGATGGCCACAAGGCTTAGGGTGGACACGCTCACGGACACCCCTAAGCAAAGGGAGAAAAACGACTCACCTTGGAAACTTGCACCACACACTCACCAGTGTGATTTCCACAGCTCCCCATCGGGAAAGACCCCTACATTTATCAAGGCCTTGAGGAGGGGGAGTGTCGAGGGCATGGGGTGTCTTACCCACCCATGAGATAGGAAACCGCTTTGCAGATGACGGTGCCAAAGACGAATGTGCCCATGAGATTGGGCAGGAGTGTGAAGGGCATGCAAGCCACAGCCAGCAGGAGGTCGCTGACTGCCAGGGAGAGCAGGAAGGCATTGGTCACAGTTCTTAGGCGGCGGCTCAGTCCCAGGACCACAATGATAAGCACATTTCCTCCAACGCTCATCAGAAAGATCACTGCATAAAGAGTGACTCTAATGGCCAGCTCCAACTCTGGGCAGAAGAGGGAGAGGTGGCATTAGGGGTTGAGGGCCGCACTCAACAGGACCCTTTTGACTGCACCTTTCCCCAAACCTTGCTATTCAGCCATATCCCTGCATCCCAAGAATACTCCCTGCCTGACACCCAAGGCCTTCTCAGCAAGTGGTGCACTTAAATTCTTTACCATTGAAACTTGCCCTTGAGGCTTAGTTACATTGACCCGACCCACTGTCCTCTTCTTCAAGAAAGCTGTCTCTTCTCAGCATTTGCTCTAAATGCTTCTTTCCTTTTGCAGCCTAACTTCTTGGAAGGATTATGTTTGTGTCTTTCCAGTTACTTAATCCATCAGGATCCAAGGTTCTGTGCCCCCTCATTGTTTTGGACCCTTCCTCACAAAGTTTCCTTTAGCTTATTTTACTTGCCTTCTCTGTACTATCTGCCACTGTTGATCACCCACATTTTGAACAACATGTCTGTATTCTCTAACACACAGACAGTCCTCCACCCCATGCTCTTTACTGTCTGTAACCCTGTAGCACTCTACAAGGTCCTCCAGACTGCAGCTCTTCCTCCCACCCTCTCCCTGCTCTGCACCCACTTAAGCTGCTGGATGACTCAGTTTCTTGAGTGCATCATGTGCACTCGTGACTCCCTCCTGGCTCAAGTTAGTTTCTGTGCCTGAAATACTCTTTTACCAACCCCACCTTTCTACCCTCATCACAAACGTATGTTTTGTGTGTGGTGAATTTCTGTTATCCTTTGTTTATCAAGACTCAGATGGACTGTCACCTCTTCTGTAGGGCTTTCTGGGTGACTCCTTTGTATTAATCTCCTCTTCCTCTGCCCTATGCATGTCCCTTACATTTTCATTGGAGCCATTTTTACTTATACTTTTTTATATGAATTATCCAAATATTCATTCTCGCTCAATGAACATTTACAGAAGACTCCCTCTATGCCAGGCAGAGGGGACAGAGGGGTAAATATGATAAGCTCTCTGCTACCTGAGAGCTCATAGTAGAGAAGGAAACTCAGATACATAAACAGACAACTGCATTCGATTGTGATAAGGAATGAGGCTGACGGATGTACAGGGAACTGTGGGAGCTCACAGGAAGGACATTTAGTATTTTTGAGTGAATCAGAGGGGCCAGGAGGATGACCCTACTCATTTGTGTCATTGCCTAAGGGGGAGTGGACTCATATTTGGACCACTGCATTATAGCCATGTGGACCTGTAAAAAATTGAATTGAGTTGGGTTGAAACACTCATACCCCTGGTTTCAGCATGAGGAAGACTGGAGCTTGAAGAGACGATGGTGGCAAAGGGCAGAGCCTCCCAAGTTGAGAGGTGAAAGGGTCCAGAGATGCAGCCCTGGCTTTTTCAACCCCATGCATTGACTGACTCTTATCTTAGGCCCCATATTGAACTGTGTTCCCATAAAAATAACCAACTTATTTAGCAGTTGTTGTAGGCATCAAATAAGTGTTGTTCATAAGAAACCTCCCTTCCCCAACTGAACTCCGCAATAGCTTTCCTTGCTCAGGGCTACATGGCTAGTAGGGGAATGAATCAGAGTAGAAGCCAAGTCTCTGGGTCCCCCATTTGCTTTGTCTGTGAGAGCTGCCTCACTGATGTCACTCATCATCCTGCCTCCTCCTCCCCATCAAATCTCAGCCTCCCGCTCCCTCTCTTCTACATTCTGTCATTCCACTTCTCACTCCATGATTATATTCACTTTTTCTTTCTTTCCCACCAGAAGAGGCTCTGGAGGGCAGGGGCACGGAGAGCCTAGCCTTTGGCATTCGATCTAGCACCCAGGTGGCAAGTGAATGAACAGCTTTTAACGCATTTCGTGTGAATCTGTCTTTGCACCCAGAAGTGCGGCTGCTCTTCATCTCTCACTTCTATTAAGCACATCAGTGCCTTTCCCCTCTTCATTCCTGTCTGTCAGGAATGCACACTTCTCACTCATTCATCCAGCTGCTGTGCCACAGGCATGTCCTTGAACCTTGATAACTGAGGAAGATGGGAAAGATGAAGCTGGCTACTTATGTGAAGTCTCCTATCTGCTCGGGGACTCCTGAAAACTCAAGCCAACGTCTGAGCACAAATGACCATCCACTGTACAGCACTTTGTGGCTTTACTGCACATTTGTAGCCATTATCTTATTCCCAACCATTGTGATCTCTCCACTCTTTACTGATGAACAGTTAGGAGACAGATGTAAGTTCTAGCTAAAAGCAATCTTCTCTTGGTGTGGTGGTGTACACCTGTGATCACATCACTCAGGAGGCTGAGGCAGGAGGATCACTGTGAATTTGAGACCATCTGAGGCTACACAGAGAGTTCAAGCTCAGCCTGAACTACATGGAGAGATTTTCTCTCAACCCTCTCCCCCAGAAAATGTAGTATTCAAGTTAGGGATTTGGGGAGTATGTGAGAGAGGAGTGAATAGGTAGAACATAGGGATCTCTCCTCTCTCTCTCTCTCTCTCTCTCTCTCTCTCTCTCTCTCTCTCTCTCTCTCTCTCTCTCCACACACACACACACACACACACACACACACACACACCCTGAGAGTAGTGAAACTATTCTTGGATGGCACTGTAATGGCAGATGTTTGACATTAAACATTCCTTCACACCCATAGAATCGCACAACATACAAGTAAACTTTAGTGTGAACTATAGATTTTAGCTAATATGTACCAGCACAAGAGCATCAATTGTAATAAATGCAAAATATTGGTATAGGATATTAATGATAGAGAAAACACTCTCATCTGGGGTGTGTGTGTGTGTGTACACATAGGAACTCTTTGTGCTTCCCAGTCTTCCCTTGAGTCCAAAAATTCTCTAAAAATAGTCTATTAATTAAATAGTCACAATACAAAGTAAATAAAAATTAAGATGTGTGTGTGTGTGTGTGTGTGTGTGTGTGTGTGTCTATCTATGTGTGTGGAATTCTACCATGTGTGGTGGAACTAGTGGTCAAGATGGCTTCATTGGCCAGACACCTAAGTCAGGGTGAAAGGATGGGGGTGACATCACTTGGCAAACAGGCACTGGTGCCTCAGCAGTCTGACTTTAGGTAACAGCTTTATGGGAAGGAGATGACAGCAGGAATCAGCCCAGGGGACTCAGAAGCCTTGCCCTGTTCCATTCGTTTTCTGGAGTGTGGAAAATTTGCATTCGCCCTGTCTAGGTGATGGTAGAGAAGCACAAACACAAAAATCCAGACAATGTCACCCAGGTTTTTCAAGGACTCCTCAGAACACTGCTAAGGCCTCCACTCCTGCCTTCCTCTGGTATGTTGCATCTGGTCACCCACAAGCGTGGACATCAGTGCAACACCCCTGTCTCTTTGGTAAGCGTAGATGGCATCTAGCTGATCCAATGGGAAGCAAGGGTGAAGTGGGCACTCACAGAGACAGCACTATGCCAGGGAGTGTAGGCGACATCAGCCTGAGTATGGGCTAATACTTCAGTCTTTGAGACAATATGTGGATGGCTGAAAGCAGTCCTTATTTTTCTGGGAGAAAGTTAAATTCTACAGATCAATAAGTAATATTAGATTTTTGATTATATTTAAGCTTAGGTATATCTGAGTACATGTTGTAACATTTGAATAAGAGAGAGTACTATCCAAGTCTCTAGATAACGTCTCAGGAAGTACTAGTTATATTCAGAGGTCTCTGTATGAATCAGAGAATATCCAAGTGACGATAGCAATAGCTGGAAGAGAAGAAGCAATATTCAAATATGTGTGGGCAGTATTTAAGTGAATTTAAATGCAAGGAGTCAGGTTAGCATGTTAAATTAAGCTCAGTTTCAGATGTTAATCTCAGTGAAATAACTCTTCACAAACAATGCTTAGTTAAGCCTTTGTTGGTACTATCTGAGTCTGTGAAAATAATAATTTTATGGGTAGTATCTGGAGAAAGGCTATGCATGCCAGCACGGTCAACATGAAGTTGTGTGCAATTAAATGAAAAGTGAGTTGCTTGAAGAATGGGTAGCATCTCTGTGACTGTGGGCAATGTTGAAGTGTGCACGGGGAGCATCTGCTGTGGGTAGCATCTGAGTGAACATGGGTGATATTGAAGTTTACAGGTTTATGTAACAATAAAGTTGTAACATTCAAATTTCCTTGGTAACACTGGAGCAAGGACAGGCAATGTATACACCTGCAGGGATAATATCTTTGTGAATGTGGCTCACAGAGTAACGTCCGACTGCCTGGGTAGCATCCCATGTATGTGAACAGCAACATCCAGATTAGCAAGGCCTCATCTTCTACCTGTTACCCAGGCCACTTTACATATTGCTTTTTCAGGGATGCCTACTCTATGGACTATGCTCTTCCTTATCAGAATGTCAGTCTTCATCTCTCTTGGCCCTTTCTTATCAAAAAAGTTATAAAGATCCAGGCAAAGGGTCCTAACACAGGTAGTTACTCAAGAGATTGAACTGGGAGGATTACTTGAGTCCGACAGTGAGAGACTAGCTTGGGTAGCATAGTGAGACCACACCTTATTTCTGCTGCAATTACTATTATTCCAACACACACGTGCGCGCGCGCGCACACACACACACACAGAGAAAGAGAGAGAGAGAGAACGAGCCGTCCTCACACCCTTCCTCAACCCTGTAGTGTTCCTGTCTACTGATCTCTGCCTTGCTCCCCTCTCCCAGTATTCAATGTAGGTAGTCAGACCTTAATATCTAGGAGTCTTTTCAAAGGCTTGTTCGTTATTGAATCAGGAAGGTGCTGCTCTAGCTGATTGGTTCTTATCTGACTTGCATCAGTGAGGATTTGACATCACTTACTCTACCCTGCTTACATGCTCATTTTTCTTGCCTTCTAAATCACGAATTAAATAATCAATTTATTTATTCATTTGGTACAGGGTCTCACTCAGTTTCAGTGGCTGGCACAGTGGCACAGCTTGAGGTACCAGGGATTGAACCCAGGTTCTTACGCTTGCCAGGTATGACGATTTATGTCTAGTTGTCCCTCCAATACCTCAGGCAGTCATGGGGTAGGGACTTTAGAGTTTGAGATTAACTCATGATTCACTGGGATTATGAGTCTTAGTGCTGCTGGGATTATGGGTGTAAGTACTACAGACCACCTGGGGCATATAGCCTGAATGCAATTTGAGGGAGACAGACTTCTTCTCTGTATCCCTTTTTGCTGCTCTTCCTCCATTTTGCTCTTGCTCTTTGCCACCACCATGAACTGCTGCCCACTGCCATGTGCCAGCCTGCCTTGGAGCCAGATGAGTATGGACTGGCTCCAGTAATTGTGAAACCTCCAGTAATTGTGAGCTAAAGAAATCTTTCCTTCCTTCATTTTGGGTGTCTTGTATGCATCAAGAGAAGAGTAACTGAGACAGAATTTGGTACCAGAGAAGTGGAGTCATTGCTGTGACTAAACTTGACCATGTGGATTACAAGCTTTTGGGAATGGCTTATGGGAAGACATACAAAAGGATCAGAGAGGTCACCTACTTGTGAAGAGCTGGAACAGCTTTGACTGTTTGGAAAGAGTCTGGTCAGAGCTCAGAAGACAAGAAGGCTGATAGAAAGCCTGCCTATAACACCAGACTGGGGAGGTTTCTGCTGGGAAGGACTGCACTGATTGTTGGACTCCAGATGATGTCAGTTTTGGCTTGGCAAAACGTCTGTCTGAATTTTGCTCATGTTCAGAGACTTTGCCTGAGACTGAGATTAAGCATGGTGGATTAATCAATTTTTCAAAAGATATTTCAAAGCAGCCAAATATTGGAGCAGTAGCATAGCTGTTATTGAGGGCTTTTAGCCAGATTTATGTTGAGAATCAAGAGCAAGGGGTGCAGCAGGATGGTTTAAAATGTGAATTTGGTCAGAAAGGAAGCTCCAATAAATCTGTGGACCGCAAAGATAGAGCTGAGGGGATCTCCACTGCCAAGAAGGAACAAAAGAATCGACAGGATGGCCTTAGGGCATCACTGAAGGCAGAAGATCTCCACCCTTTGCAATCTCAGGATTGCAAAGGTCAGGAACTTTGCCTTGAGGGGAAGGCCACAGTGCCCTGTGTTCCAGAATGGGGGCAGCCTCCATAACCAGGTTCCAGAATGGTGCCTGCGTGGAGAATTTGTTCTTCAGAATCAGGGTCAGATTGCTCAGTGATCCAGGCACTCAACCCCCCACAGACAAGAGAGAGGAAAACCTGGCTACCGCTCCAGATGGCAGCAGACCTTGGCATTATCCACATGGCATTTGTTTTAGGGTGTATTCAGAATGCAGAAGTTCTGAGGTTAAGAAGGCTTCTACCTCGACTTCAGAAGAAGGCCTGGGAGGCCATGCGGTGTGCCCCTGAGAGGGCAGTGTGTAAAGCTGTGAGTGAGAAGCTTATTCAGTGGAAACCCCAGAAGTTTGGAAAAGCCAGGACTATGGATCATCTAAGGCAAACTGCAAGGAGGGAGCAAAGCTGGCCTAAGAGAGAAACCCTGGGAGCTACAATCACAAGACATGCCCATAGGGGTGGAGCCACATGGAGCTCACAATTTGCCACAGATTGCTTTGGATGACCTACAAGGACCTAAAGGATTGAATGTTTGCCCTGCTGGATTTTGGACTTGTGTTAGTCCCAATGCTTAGTATCCTGCTGTGTGTACCTTTTGGAATGGTAATTTTTATCTTGTGCCTTTGAATGTTGGCAGTGGCTCTTCATTTGCACAGGAGCCCACAGCTAAGAGTTTACCTTGGATTTTGGCAGAGAACTGGGACTTTTCAGCAATGCTGAAACTGTTGGGACTTTGGCAACTCTTAGAAAGGGACTAAAATGGCTTTTGAACAAAGGGATGTACATTAATCTTTGGGGGTCCAGGGGTGGAATGCCCCACCTGGGGCATATAGCTTGAATGCAATTTAAGGGAGACAGACTTCCTCTCTGTAGCCATTGTTGCTGGTACTCCTCCATTTTGCTCTTGCTCTTTGCCACTGCCATGAACTGCTGCCCTTTGCCATGTGCCAGCCTGCCTTGGAGCCAGCTGAGTATAGACTGAAACCTTCAGTCATTGTTGAGCTAAAGAAACCTTTCCTTCCTTCATTTTGGGTGTCTTGTATTTGTCCCAAGGTCAAGAGAAGAGCAACGGAGACACCAGGCAGGTGCTTAGACTGCTGAGCTAACTGCCTAGCCCTTCCTTGCCTATTAGAGAGGCACCTGTCTCTCTAATAGTTTTATCTAAATCTCCTTCATGAACTTTCTTTCCTCTGCATGGATTTTAAATACTTGTCTTCTTCAGGGTCCTGCAGGACCTCTTTTCTTCTAATTTTACACAATTTTTGTATGATTTTATCTACTTTCATGGCTCCTATTACCTCCTTTAGGCAATGACATTTCAAGTCTATATTTCCAGTTTAGCCTTGTAAGGTAAATTCTAGACCTCTGGATTCATCAGCTTCCTGGGTAACCAACATTTAAACTCAGATTTAAACCAAGGTAACATGATGCTACCCTTTTCCAAACCCACTTCTGCTCTCTTGACACATTTCACATTACATAGCACCAACATCCATTCAGCTGTCCAAGCCAGAACTGTGACATCACCCCTTGACCCTTTCTACCCTCTCCACTTTCTAAGCAGTCTCTCAGTTTTGTTGATTCCATTTTCAGAAGTGACTCTCAAGTCCACCTCCCTCTCTCCATCCTCACTGCCAGTATCTGAGGCAGGCATTATTTTTTGCCCAGATCTGTGCAATATAATAGCTCTTTAGGATACCCCCCCCCATGATCCACTTCATCCTTCACTCCACTCTCTTTAGACAAAAAGGAATCCTGGTCGTATTATGGAATCTTTCAGTATTGTCCATTGTCATCAGGATAAAGTAGCCAGATCTGTCAGGCTCTCTGCATTGCTAGGCTGTTTTCTAGCCTGTTTCTTATTTACCAGTAATGACACTAGTTCCAACCACTCAGTAACTATGTCACATTGAATAAAAGTGCCATGAACTTACACTTTGGCTTTTCACCCATCCTATTACTATGCTTTGAATACTTTTTGCTGGTTGCCTCTCACCTTTTGAATTTCAATTTACAACCCACCTTCTTAGGAAGGCAGCCTTAACCTTGAGAGCCGGCTGCAGATGCTCCTCTCCTGCCTGCACTACTTTCCCTTTTCAAGACACTCTCATCTTGTGTTGCCATTCCCTGCTTACTTGTATGTTTTTCCTACTAAAATTTGAACTCCATGAAGTAGGAATTGTCAGTTTGATTCAACTCATATTCCTGCTGCCTAGCACAGTCTCTGGTTCAGTAAATATTTGCTGAATGAAAGAATCTAGGTGACAGTATGTAATCATGGGGCTGAGAACTCTTCCTTTTCTGAATTTAGAGCAATTTCTTTCTGCTTAACACTGCTTCTTTATAATTGCACTCCTTTTCTGCTTACTGAATTCTAATTTCAACATGAGGCTCTCATGTTCCTCCTGTATGAAGTTTTCAGACCTGTCTCTTTTGTGCCCACAGTTCAGACCCTCTTGTGGGGCTTCCATACTGTTGTGATTTTCCATGATCCTGTCTCTGCTCTGCACCTGACTATGCACAGATGAGCGTACAGCCTGGATCTAGTTCACTCCTGTGTCCACAGCACTTAGCTGGGGGACTACCATGGCCAGTGTTCAGTAAACACTGATGGAAAGGGAGGAAGCAGGGAAGGGAGGAAATGTATTCTGAGATGTTCATTGAGACAGTGAGGCTGTTAGCTGATGGGAGCAGGGAGTCATTTTGAGGAGCGGTTTGAAGAGGGGTGAATGGAAAGAGAAGCTAGTGCCACAAAGGGATGGAGTGACGAAGGGGGCAGGAACTCTAGGAGACCTAAGGGAAGGCAGGTTGGTGATGGGGCTTGGAAGGGACTGGGAGAATTCTGAGAAAGAGAGGTGACATACAATCTGGAGAACAAGTTCAACTTGAGAGGCAGAGGGGCTTGAGGATGGGGGAAACGAAGCCCCTAGCTCCGGGGGACACCCCCAGTGTCCAGCCTAATTCAGATTGGAGAAGCTTTTTATGGAAGAGAGGGAGATGAATAAGAGACAGAGAAGATGACAGCTCTGAGTCTTTCCACTCAAGACTTCCAGAGTGCCCCTCAACCAGCCGTTTCCTTTGGCCGCCTTCCTTCCTTCCTTCCTTCCTCCCTCCCTCCCTCCTTCCTTCCCTCCCTCCCTCCCTCCCTCCCTCCCTCCCTCCCTCCCTCCCTCCCTCCCTCCCTCTCTCCTTCTAGCTACTCTGGTTCCGTGGATTGGATAGACTGGAATAGAAAAATATCTGGAAGGGTTGCCAGCGGAGGTCCTTGCCTCACAACTGTGTGTGTCCTGTGGAGCTGCATTTTGGGGTGCTCAGAAACTCTGGGTGTAACCGGGGAGGTAGGGGATGAGGGGCTTTCCTCAGGTGGTGTGAAAGTGCTGGAGTTGTAAGGGCTATGGGGGTGGCAGTACAGGCTGAGTACTACTAGGTGGAGACACGGTGGGCGGCTTGGCCGGCAGTGTGGAGGTCCTGTCGGGGCTTTTTGAATGCTAGGGGATGCAGGGGTACGGAGGCTGTAGCGGGGGCTTAGGGAGGCACCCACCTCTTGTCCCGGCGCCGCGGAGGCGAGGGGTCTCGCAGCTGAAGTTGCCTGCACTGCTGCTGTTGAGGAGGGGACCCGCCGGGCGGCACAGGGAAGCCCCCTGTTCGGGCCCGGGTCCCTGCAGGCTCCGGTTCAGTTTGAGCAGCTCCATGGCCCGGTGGAGCCCACAGAAGCTCTGGGCGCCTCCACCTGCAGGCGCTGGGATTCCCTCTCCGGCCCCGCCCCGCCCCGCCTGCGTCTCTTGCACCTCCACTCGCCACGCCCACAACCCGGGCCCTCCCAGGTTAGGGTCGGCCGCGGTCTTGCCAGGTGACCCTCAGCCCACGTCCCCCGCTCGGGAGTTCTGGCTCGAGGCTCACCTCGTTCCCAGATCTCCCGAGTCCTCTCTCAGAGATGTCCTTTCTTCCTTCCTTTCCTTACCAAGATCCCAATTCTGGGGCAGTGTGTGCGTGTGAGCGCGCGCACATGTGTGTGTGTGTGTGTGTGTGTGTGTGTGTGTGTGTGTGTGTGTGTGCGTCCTTGCTTGCTTGCTTCCTTGCTTGCTCCCGGGGCTTAGAGCGCCCGGACTGGGTGGGAGTGGGTTACAGAGCGAGGGAAGGTGAGAGAGGCGGGGCGGGGCGCAACTCCTGCGAAGTCCGGCATCTTCGGGTCCAGGAATGAGGGGGTGCCCGAGATTAGCTTTCCGTTTGGGGGCCCCTGCGACTGCGCAGGTCTCTCACCCCAGCGCGCGGTTACCTACTGTGCCGCAGTGACCGCAGTGACCGCGGCACCACAGCTGCGGTAGCTTCCGGCTGTTGCTCACCGCCGAGCGCGGGTACTGCGCTCCCCGCCCAGTCTGAGGACCAACAGCTGTACTATCCCAGGATTCTCGGGGTCTCTCAGCTACGCGGAGGGGGTGGGACTGCGCCATCTGTCCGGGAGGAGCTGTGGCAAGGGAAATTGGAGCAAAAGAAGAGTCAGACTTGGGTGTCGAGGGCAGCTGGGAATGGAGGTGAGCGCTGACAGGTAGAAGTGGGGTGGATTAGCGCTCTAGCCCTCCCTTGGTCCCGGGGAAGAGAGAGGAGGTGGCCGCGGTCTCCAGTAGTCCTGCTGTCTCCAGGCAGCGCCTACCTCCAGTTGACACGCAGACGCCCCCTATGTGGGGGCAGTGCAGGTGAAGCCGCCTGGGTAGGGTGTCAGGTTCCCACGAGAGGGGGCCAAAGTGGAGATGGGTCACAGGTGTGCAGCGGGGACAAAGCTGAAGGTTGTATGTGCAAGAGAGGAGTGAGTTTGACTTCTCCGGGGTGGGTCTTGCTCCATATCCACTGCACCTGATTCCAAAGAAAGTCCAGCATGGTCTGAAATTTTATCTCACCCCCAAAAGTGGGGGCATTGGCGAAGAGCAGATTACAGTGAGGTTAGGGCCTACGTTTATGAGGAATTCAGTCCTTATCCAGTCATTTTGCAGAGGCTCTGGTCCAACCAGAGTTTACCGAGGTAGCAGCAGTGGAGGACAAAGTTTAAGCCTGTGGTGTAAGGGATGTCACCACCTACTCCCCCTTTCTTTCTGGCACTGCCTGTTTTGCTCATCTAAGCTTGAACCAGAGAAGCTTAACTGTTTGTTCAGTTCCAACACAGGTGCAGTGCCAGATAACCTGCTGAGCTTTTCTCACATTGGATGACGGTAATGCCTAGAGGGAAGAGACAAAGGAAAGGCAGGGGAGAAAGGGATAGAAATAGTGGACAGACATTTACTTACCCAGGAAACTGTGTGTCAGTATAAGTATGCACGGACTGTCCTGTATACAGCCTGTCCCTAAGTAGCCTACACCTGCTGTAACTGGAATTTTCCCAGGTAGGCCAGTGATTGCAGTGTATGGTCACAAGTGCATCCTCTGAGGTAATATGGATCAGAAAGTTGAGAAGCATCCTCAATGCCTTACTCCCTTGCGCTCCCCCACCCCTGTAATGGAGCCTGTGATGCTAATCCCAGACTCCTCTTCAAAAGTGAAGTTAATTGTCCAGCTACTGAGAGCGCCACTGGAAGATGGTGGGCTCAACTGTCAGCCCCCTTCAGGGATTGTTTGGACAGAAGAAAACTTGCTCACACAGGGTCACATACCCTTTCTGGGGCATCCTCCCTGACTGCTCAGCATAGGGAAGGGCAACTCTGAAATCAGTTCGCGACCCCAGAGCTCCTCATGGGACTGACTGAGATCTTTGTTGGGATCTTTGCTTGGCCTCTCCTTTTGTCCAATCCTCTCTCTTGCACAGGTGTGGACTCCAGGAGGGCTCCTTAGTAAACATCCTTCTCAGTAATCTCTGCTTTAGAGTCTGCTTCCTGGGGAACATAACCACAGGACTTCCATATGCGATCAATCATGAAGTCCTGTTGATCTTAGCCACTGAGTGTTCCTCAGCTCCACTTGCTTGTGTACATTACTGCGCACTCCCTTGTACCGCTCCTATGTGGGCCACCACACCTGTGTCGCCTCATGTTCATTCTCATTCACGGCCACAGTGTATGTTCAGAATGCAGCTATGATTTTGTCACGCTTCTGACCTCTGCTTTTGGGACAGAAAATGCCTATTCACAGGATCAATGAAGTCCTCATAGCCGGGCTCCTTCGGACTCCTCTAGCCGGTTTATTTTGTCACTGCGGCTTGTCCTTTGTACTGTAGATGCACTGACCTTCCTCTTGTTCCCACAAGAAGAACTACCCACACTACCTTTTGTGTTGTGTGTCCTTCATTACATAGGTTTTGTGCATACTCTCCAGAAGCTTCCCTTATTCATCTGATCTCAGCTCAAGCAGCAATTTTCAAGGATATTTCCCTGGCTTCCTCTCCTGGAGTAGAGTAGTACTGTCCCAGTAACTGCAACCTTTTGTTCTCTAATCTTCTCTTGAGGATGGGTGGACTTGTGCATGTAATGAGATACTACTTTCATTACTCTTACATGGCAGAGGAATTTTACAGGTGTTTATGTTACTAATCAGGTGATCTCAAGATAAAGAAATTATTCAACTAGTCCTAACTAATTTACACAAGGTTTTTTTTTCTAACACAAGTTCTTTAAAAGCCAAGAGTTTTCCCTGTCCACACACAGCAGAAGTTCGAGGTATTTAAAGAACACAGGGATCCAGCATACTGTTAATAGCTTGAAGACAGAAGGGACCATGTAGAGGACCACATACGGCTGTTGCTCGTGGGAGGATGGAGGTGTGGGGCACAGCCCAAGTGGCCTCGGCCTGAATGTAGTCCCTAGCTGACATCCCAACGTGGGACTTCAGTCCCCAACCCCCCACCCCCAGGTCATCCCTAGGAGCGATTTCAGTTTGGATGACACCTTGTGTTGTGATGGGCACAGAGCCCAGACACACTAGGTAGACTTCTGGCTAGATGAGCTAGTAAATGGACATTCATTGAAGTCACTAAATTTGTGGCATTTTGTTACTATGGCAATAGGAAAATGAAGCAGGAGGCAGCGAGTACAGACCCTTGTAAACTATGCAAGGAAGAAGTGGGAACATGGGAAATTTGTTATGATACAGAAAGGTCTGGGAGGGCTGCAGTAAAAGCCAGTGTGGAGGATGGAAATGTGGGCAGGAGGTGGCAGTGGCTTGAGCTAAAGTCCTGGAGGTGGTAATTAAGGTGGACCCAAGAATTGCTAAGGAAGCAGGGAGGAAGAATTTAGAGACTGCAAATGGAGGGTGAGGAAGAAGGACAAGATAAAAATAAATACAATTTCTGGCAACTTCTAGGGATGTGACTCAATGGTGAAGTGCTGCCTAGCACATAGAAGACCCAGGTTCAATCCCCAGAGCCATAAAAAAGAAAAAGAAAAGATGGATTTCTGGTAACTGTACGGAAATTGTATGCTGACCACCATGGAGAAAATCAATTTAGATCAGTATTATTGATCACAATTTTAGATGGAGAAAATGATGGCTCAGAGTTTAAGTAACCTTAAAATGCAAAAGTAATTTAGGATGAAAAAGCAGGAATGTCATAGACAGAACTGAGATGTATTCTCATTCTGCTTCCCAAAATGGCAAAAGTCCTATTTCTTTTTTGGTACTGGGAATCGAACTCAGGACCTTACACTTGCTAGGCAGGTGCTGTGCTGCTGAACTACATCCCAGCCCTAATCATCTTCTTTTTCCCACTTTATATCACAGTTTTTTCCCAGATTTTTCTGCACTCAAGTGGTCTCTAATTTAATCTCCCAAACACACAAATGGATACACAGATACACACAGCTACACACAGACAGACAGATAGACACACATACACAAGAACTATCCATAAATAATCATTATAATTAATAATAAATAATTCACTGTCAATAAGTAATATGGATTTCAACTTTATTTTAAAATTAATTTTATGCATACGTATTAGATATATGTAATGATCACATTTATCGTAGAGAATTTGTACCTGCCTGTAACATATTTTGATTCTTTTTTCCCAACCCTTTCCCTCCCTTTAATCCATTTCCTTCCTGATTTATAAAAACTTCGTTTCAATATTTTTCCTTCTTTTCTCATTTTTCTTGTCTTTTACATCTTTTACCCTTCTCTTGTTCCTCTTCTCATTTGAACATTTTCAAAGTAATAGTAGAGCCTGGAATTAAGGGTGGTACTGGAAGATGACTGTAATTCTCTGTATAATTTTTATTTCATTTTATATGTACTTACATATTTCCTCATATATAGAAATGTCTTATTTTTATTTTTATGTTTTGGTACCAGGGATTGAACTCAGGACCTGTGGTCGCCAGGCAGGCACTTATTTCCCTGAGCTAATCCCTGCCCCTCCCCCTCCATTTGAATGTTTTCTTCTTGTTTCCCAATATCTGTTGTACATCTTGGTCCTTATTTACCCTTTTGGTGTTTCACAGCAGAGAAACAATGTGATATTTAAACATGTGTGTCCAAGGCTGGCCAGTTATCTCAGTGAATTAAAGCACCTGCCTAGGCAGATGCAGGGGCCAGGGGTTCAATCCCTGGCCTGCCTTGCTGACCCTGACCCCAGAGAGTGCCTAGATGTAAATGAGACTGGGCGTGGTGGCACACACCTGTAGTATCCCAGCGCTTGGGAGGCTGAAAAGCAGGAGGATCACTACAAGTCTGATCTGTGTAGCGAGACCCTGTAAATCCTATACTAAATACATTTAAAAAAGAATACAGGAGAAAAATGTTTGTCCAGTTTATTAAACTTAAAAGTATGGTCTCAGAGGCA